GAACACATGTTAGTGGCCCCTGAACAGATGTTAGTGGCCCCTGAACAGATGTTGTTAGTGGCCCCTGAACAGATGTTGTCAGTGGCCCCTGAACAGATGTTAGTGGCCCCTGAACAGATGTTGTTAGTGGCCCCTGAACAGATGTCAGTGGCCCCTGAACACATGTTGTCAGTGGCCCCTGAACACATGCTAGTGGCCCCTGAACAGATGTTAGTGGCCCCTGAGCAGATGTTGTTAGTGGCCCCTGAACAGATGTTGTCAGTGGCCCCTGAACACATGTTAGTGGCCCCTGAACAGATGTTGTCAGTGGCCCCTGAACAGATGTTGTCAGTGGCCCCTGAACAGATGTTGTCAGTGGCCCCTGAACACATGTTGGAAGTGGCCCCTGAACACATGTTGGCAGTGGCCCCCTGAACAGATGTTGTCAGTGGCCCCTGAACACATGTCAGTGGCCCCTGAACACATGTTGGCAGTGGCCCCTGAACACATGTTGGCAGTGGCCCCTGAACAGATGTCAGTGGCCCCTGAACACATGTTGTCAGTGGCCCCTGCTTCAAGCGTGTGCATGATCCAGAACGTTCATGTGATCAGGCTGCGAGGGTCAGCTGACGTTCTGATGACAGACGGCACCAGAGGCCAGGAGACGTTCATGTTGTCCTGTTTGTGTGAGACTTCCAGGGACGAGCTTCGGTCAGAACATGGAGACCCAGAGGTTGAAGAGGAAGGTTGGAGCTCTCATGTGAGTGAACATGAAATCCAAAGTTGTGTGAGGAGTCTTGAACAATGACCAAATTATTGTTCTTCTTTGTTTTTTTTCTGTTCAGAGACGATTACATCGGACTGAAGCTCAGAGAAAAGTCTTTTGATCCAACGGGGACGGGGACCTCCACCATCATAGACGACTTGGTATGGACTCACCAAGCAGAGTGGAGCAGTCCTTTGTACTCTCCAGGATCTCCCAGTCTTGGGGCTCCATGTATGCCCAGAAAGATGCACAGTGTTCCTCACCAGGACGTACCATACCACACCATACCATACCATACCACACATACCATACCATACCATACCATACCATACTACACATACCATAATACCATACCACACCATACCACACCATACCATACCACACCATACCATACCATACCATACCACACCATACCATACCATACCATACCATAATACCATACCACACCATACCATACCATACCATACCATAATACCATACCACACCACACCATACCACACCATACCATACCACTTTATTTATAGATCACTTAAAACAGCTACAAGGCCAACCAAAGTGCTGTACAGACAGAACAACAGGTAACACACAAAGCAAAATACAAAATGAAGGAAATTAAAAATAAAGACATAAAAACGATGCAGATGATGAGGACAAACCAGTGTGGAGCATACAGGATCAAACACAGATCATCTGGTGTTGAAAGCTACTGAATAGTAGTGGGTTTTTAAACGGGACTTGAAAACCGAGAGGGAGGGGCCTGTCTGACAAGCAGAGGCAACTCGTTCCAAAGTCTTGGTCCTGCTACAGAGAAGGCCCTGTCACCTCTGCGCTTAAGACGAGTTCCTGGAACTTATCAGAACAAAGCTGCTGGAAGAACGTTCGTAACTCCACACGAGCTTCAGTCGACCACCTAAACTCAGAGTGTCAGAACATTAGAATGTTGTGAAGAGGGTCAGTATCATAAACTCCTGGTGTCACCCCCAAGCACCTGATGAACTCCTGGACATGAGCTGCCTCATTCTTCACGTCCAGCCACTCCTGAACAAGAGACGGAAGCGTCTTACCTGCTGAGGAGACAGAACTGGACTGTGGCTCAGCAGTCCAATGTCTTCCATTAGGAAATCAAGGTCCAGAGTCTGGAGGAGTGGAGAGGTCCAGAATCCTAATGGTAATTGTGAGACAGCAGCAGCTTTGTCGCTGCTGGAGAACAATAGAAGTGGGAGGCAGAGTTTCCAGGGGTCTCACCGACCTGCTGCCTGGCCTTAGAGGCCCAGGGCTGTTCTTTAGGAGCTCTGCTCTGAACTGGATCTACGTTTAGTGAGGGAGGAGCTGGTTCCTTGGAGTTGGGGCTTTTCAGAGGCTGACACATGGTATTTAACTTCCTGAACCACGGCTGGCTGTGTGGGATGGCCTCAACCGTACGCCGTGGCTGAAACGATCCTTGGATGTGCAGAAACTCTTCTTGATGTCAATTTAACAGACAAGCCTGGAGGTTCTCGAGGTTCTCGCTCCTGAGTGCCTCCGTGTGTGCAGTACTTCTGCTATTAAACACAAGTTGGACATACGTGTGCTGCCAGCAGATCAGTGCCCCCTGGCATGCCTGACATTTGAACCTTTTTGTTACTTCTGTGGGTGTGTGCTGTCCTGACAACCTTCACGTGCACACTCCTCTGCTCATGGCACAAAACCAGACGGTGTGCCAAGCTCGTCTTTACACCCCACTACTTATTTAGGAGCATCTGGCTCACATCCCATTCATCTCCTCATTTTGCTGCATCTAGACATCAGGTTTGATTTTGTAAACAACAACAAGGATCCCACATGCACAACGTGTTTGCATCTGCATGTTTAGTTAGAGGCACATCAGGGAAGGTGTCTTGTGTCCTCTCTTGGACCTTTGAGTTCAGCTCATGAAAAATGGGAACAAAAAGAAAAGTGTTGTTTTTATATTTTGTTCATTATAAATGACTTTTGTCTCTGAGAAACAGGACTGGAGAACGTTTATGTGATTGGGGAATAAGACTTTGTGTTCCACTGCAGGCTCATTACGACCTGGCCGTCAGCGTCGCTCTGTGGTGGCTGAACAGAAACCAGGGACGGGACGAGCGCCACGTGGACGTCATGTCTGTTATGAGCACGACAGACACGCTAATTTAACTGTTTTCATAAAACCTCCGAGTTCTCACGAAGCCTTTTCTCTTCTTGCCCACCACAGCAGGGCTTCTAACAACCTGGGAATCTACCAGTATCCTAACTGGTTAGAGCGGGAGGCGCTCATCTTGTCATCCTTTGCTGGAATTCTCATGGTAATTATATTTATGCATGATTAAATAAAAAACTCAGATTGGAGCAGTGGTGGAGAAAGTACTCAAACACTGTACTTAAGTAAAGTACAGATATATGAAAAATGTACTTAAGTACAGTAATGAAGTATTTATACTTAGTTACATCCCACCACTGGATTGGAGTCATTTATTGGCAGCCTTTTGTTTAAAAAAAGGAAAACCCACAAAGTCACTGATTTAACTTGAAACTGACAAAAGTAGTAAAAAACGACTGAAAGTCATTTAATGAATATCAGTCTGGAGGAGGAGGAGTCGCTGTGGCCCCCCGAACAGGGAAAAGCTGAAAGAAGAAGAAGTCACTGCTTCACTCGCTGGTTCAACTCCCTGAACCAGCAACATCAAAATGTGGGTGGGAAAGGTGAAGCACCCACACCTGCCTCCACCCTCATTTGCCCCACTCTGAGCCCTTGAGCAAGGCTCTTAACCCTTAACCCCCACCATCTGCTCCCCGTCGCCCTGATGTTAGCTCTCTGCTCCACACAGAGGGCTGTGGTAGCTCGGTGGTTAAGTGGTTGTGTCAGAAAGAACATCTGACGTACAAACAATCACCAAGTCTTCGTGTGACTCGGTTCTCTGTGGTGACCCTGAAGAAGGAGCAGCTGAGAGAAGAAGAAGAAGAAGAAGGCCGTACCCAAGTTCAGCTCAGTATCTCAAAGAATGACTGACTTATAGTCAATCAGGGATTTTCTGAGTTGGCTGTGGCAGCCATCTTGATCCAAAATGGCTCCAAGAGTTAATCAGTTCAGAGACCTCTGTCCTCGGTCATGTGACCTCAACAGTTAGAGGCTGTGAAGAGTTCTGCCGTGTTTTCAATTAGGAAAACTGTGTCTTTAAGGACGTCACCATGGTAACTGGAAACATCAGGAATAGTAACAGCTCACATCACGGCTCCGAGCCGGTCGTTTTGATGGAACATTCGTCAGGAGGCACAGGAGCAGGACCCTCTCCAGGTGGATCCTTCACGCAGTCCCCAGTAATCTACAACATCCTGACAGCTGTCTGAATGTGACAATGTAATGTAACATTACAGAATATAATGTAACATTATATTCTGTAATGTTACATTATATTCTGTAATGTTACATTATATTCTGTAATGTTACATTATATTCTGTAATGTTACATTATAATCTGTAATGTTACATTATATTCTGTAATGTAACATTACAGAATATAATGTAACATTATATTCTGTAATGTTACATTACAGAATATAATGTTACATTACAGAATATAATGTAACATTACAGATTATAATGTAACATTACAGAATATAATGTAACATTACAGAATATAATGTAACATTACAGAATATATTGTAACATTACAGAATATAATGTTACATTATATTATGTAATGTAACATTATATTCTGTAATGTTACATTATATTCTGTAATGTTACATTACAGAATATAATGTAACATTACAGAATATAATGTTACATTACAGAATATAATGTTACATTACAGAATATAATGTAACATTACAGATTATAATGTAACATTACAGAATATAATGTTACATTACAGATTATAATGTAACAGCTGTCCATGAAACACAAAAGTATCTGACTTCAGATCTGTGCTCGTGTTTCAGAGCAGCCTTCCAATGGAAGAAATCTTGGGTCTGTACAAAAGTAAACCTGTCGCTTCGTACCCCGACCACATGTCCAAGGTACGGCATGCGTTCTTGTTAGTGCAAATAATGTAGGTGGTCAGATTCTTTAACTTATTTAAAATTAGACTTTGATCTAATTCTTCTGTCCTCGTTGGAAGGGCTCGATCGTTCACCCCTTCACCCTGTCCTACCATCCTCTCGCCATGCTCGGCTCCTACAAGGCTGTTCATCACTCCAAGAAGCACAGTAAGTGTGCACGTTCTTCATCACGCTTCTTAAATAACTTCACAAACTTTGAGAGGAACATCTCGCACTATTGAGAGTTATTTGCTCGGTTTGGCCAGAACAGCTGCATCTCCATCATTTCTCAACAACAAAAACTATCCGTTTAAATCTCTGTGTAAATCTATGGACAGTTTCTTGGTGCAGTCAGGGGGTGGGGGGAGTCCGGTTCTGAGGCCTCAGGATTCATGATGTGGTCCTGTTGGCGTCATCGTGCCGTGGTCTCCAGCTCTCACTGGAGCTGCTCACAGTGGAGTGTGAAGGGTGTGAAGAACCTCTCTAGGTGTCTTCAAACATCTGCTGAGTTCCTGGAAATGAGCAACACAGACATGTTCCTGTTTTAGTTTTCTACATCGCCTTACAAACAGCTGTTTTTGTTTCATTTTTTAATTCCATTTTCTTTCATTTGTTCTGCTCAATTATTATTAATTTTTATGATTGTCCACTGTTGTCATCACTCTGTTAAAATCAGGTCTCATGTCAATGAGTCCCTGAGGCTCAATGGGATGAACCTGTAGAAATAAAGGTTGAATGGAAAAAAGAGGCTGGGATGAGAACCAGCACCTCCAAATCTGAGCCCATGGTCCTCAGAGGGTGGATTGTTCTCTTCAGGTCCAGGGTGAGGTTCTGCCTCAAGTGGAGGAGTTCAAGTATCTCGTGGTTTTGTTCAAGAGTGAGAGAAGAATGGAGCATGAGACTGACAGCTGGATTGGTGCAGTGTCTGCAGTATTGTGGACTCTGTGCCGGTCCATTGTGGTGAAGAGGAGCTGAGCTGTAAGACAAAGCTCTCTGTTTACTGGTCGGTCTACGTTCCTCCCCTCATCTCTGGTCATGAACTCTGGTAGAGACTGAAAGAATGAGATCGTGGATCCAGGAGGTTGAAATGAGTTTCCTCTGCAGGAGCTGGACTCTCCCTCAGAGACAGGGGGAGAAGTTCAGTTATCAGGAGAGACTCAGAGTAGAACCACTGCTCCTCCACATCCAGAGGGATGGCTCTACTTCCTCAGACGGCTGAGACGAGCTGGTCTGGAAGCTCAGTCCTCACCTCCTTCTACAGGTGTGCAGTGGAGAGCATCCTGTGCTCCAGCATCAACGTGTGGCATGGAGGCTGCACAGCTGCAGAAAGAAAAGCTTTGCAGAGAGTGGTGAAGGCTGCACAGAAATCTGTCGGAATCAGCCTCCCCACCATCACAGACATCTACACCTCCAGATGCAGGAAGAGGGCCACCTGCATCATGAAGGACCCCACTCACCCAGCACACACACTTTTTGCCCCACTCCCCTCAGGAAGGAGGTTGAGGAGCATTAAGTGTAGAACCACTAGACTGAGGAACAGCTTCTACCCTGAGGCTGTTAGACTCATGAATCTCTAACCAGGAGAATCACTGTAATGAGATTTTAACTGGTGATATGTGACTTAATCTGTGCTGCTGATCATCCATGCTGCTGATCCCTTGCCTTTATTATGCTGTATTTATACCCATCTGCTCACTACAGACTCATGTTCAGGCTGCTGTTTAATATTCCATGTTATTTTACAATATTATCGTTTCGTGTATATCTTAGATACTTGTATACGGCTTTTTTTATACCAAAGTTCATGCTCAGTAATCCAGGTAATAATCCAACAATGTTCAGTCAGGTCATCTGGATGATTTCTTTTTATGCTGAGACGTTTCGTCCTTCAACCGAAGGACTTCTTCAGTCTGAGGAGACACCAACAAACTGAGTCCCACCACAAACAGCTCACTCCCATTGTGGAAAAAAACAGTTTGCTGGTGATAAGATGGCCTGCGGTGCCCGCCCTCTCCCCCGCCAAGTCCTCTGAGGCTCTGAACAGTGAATGTTTGTGGTTGTTTAACTGGACAGAGAATAAAAGTAAAACCTAAATGTTTTTGATGCAAGATGTTCAAGTGAGTAGAAGTGACTCTGGAGAACAGAGGGAGAGCAGAGTGACGGAGCCTTAAGAGTGAACGGAGACATTTTATTCACCACCAGGAGCAGTGGTGCAGTCAGGGGGTGGCCAGTGGTGACCATGACCACCATTAGTCTTTAGTCACCCAGTCATTTCAGGAAACTATGCTTTCTAGTTTTTATATTGCTTAAGTTAAAACAATAGATTCCTCAAACGAGTGAGGTGGATGATTTGCATAAATGTCGGGGGCCATCTTGGATTTTGACTTGGCAACACAATTTTTAAATGGAGTCTTTTCTACGCTCAGATGAAGCTACACATCAACATGGAAGTGGTACCTCACTTATTTTATAAGTTATCACGCTCACAGCGTGCACGGACAGAGTGATGAAGAGTATTTCTGATCCCGCCTCTTTGCTCAGCGACGGGGAACGAAACGATCAGCGGTTTCGGAGCTCAGCCTGTTTACAGCTTGTCTGAGGACTTCTTGAATCTGTTGCAGATCTGAAGCTGAAGCGGTGGCTGTCTGAGCGGGAAAAGACAACAGCCCCACCTGGACGGGTGTCAACGCCGTCCTCGTCTCAGTCCTTCCTGTTCGTGAGTGTCCACGGCACCTGGATATGACCTGAGGAGCAGCTGGGAGGAACCCCCTGAAGGTTTCTGAAGGTTAACTCTTTGCTCTGCTCCTGTTAGGACAGCAAGGGTCAGCAGGAAACACCTGAGCTCTGCGGACCTTCACCAGAGTCTGCAGACGACTGAACATGTTGTCCTCAGACGTGGACGTGTGTCCCAGAGGAGAAACTCCAGCCCTCCACCCTTCAAGACAGAGTCGTCGCCTCTTTTTTTTACCAATGTTGATTAGTTGTGTCGGCCATCTTGACCTGGACTGACTCCAAAACTTGCTCAGTCAGGTCATCTGGACGGTTTCAAAAAGAAACCGTCCAGATGACCTGACTGAGCATTCCTGGATTTGGTACCTGGATGACTGAGCATGAACTTTGATGTCTCAGCTGTGGAAGTTCTTTGGTTTCTTCCCGTCCCGTACTTCATGAGATATTTTGCTAACAAACCGGGTTGACTCCAACAATCAATGCTGGTTTTAAGGAAAGATCTCTTGAACGAGTAGCACTCAGAAAAGGTGTTATGAAGGACTCTCAGCTACTACCAAACCAAGTTTTAGCTCTATTTATGTAAAATCAACTGATTTTAGTGTTTTTATGTGTTTTTAGAAGCCAGTTGGCTGTGGCAGCCATCTTGAACAGATTTGACTCTATGTGCATGCTTCAGCCACTCAAACAGTCCCGTTCCTCCACATCGACTCTGCACCTGAGGTGGAGTTGGTCTTTTTGGAGACCTCCACCAACTACGTTTCTTTTTATTTAATATAAACCTGCTTGTGGTGAAGAGGAGCTGAGCTGTAAGACAAAGCTCTCTGTTTCCTGGTCGGTCTACGTTCCTCCCCTCACCTCTGGTCATGAACTCTGGGTAATGGTAAGAATGAGCTCGTGGATCCAGGAGTGTAGGGTTTCTGGGGTCTGGTCCTGCATGTTGTGTTGTTCCTTCATGTTTACCAGTCCCTCCAACATTTCTCCTCCTGTGTTCCAGCACTGTCGCACCTGTGTCTGATCTTAATCATCGCAGGTGCCTTTCATTTCACCTTGTTAGTGTCTGTATATGTTCAGCCCCTTGGTGTCTTGTCAGTGTCTCTGGATTGTCCTTGTCTCGTCCAAGGCTTCATGTTTTCGATATCCCTCCATGTCTCTCCTAAAAGTAAGTTTGATGCCCCGACAGCTTTTTGTTTTGTTCATCATAATAAATGTTTTACTTATTTTACTGGAGTCTCCTCGTCTTCCTGCACTTTGGGTTCTACACACGGAAGCTGATCATGATCCAGGAGGTTGAAATGAGTTTCCTCTGCAGGGTAGCTGGACTCTCCTTTAGAGACAGGCTGAGAATTTCAGTGATCAGGAGAGACTCAGAGTAGAACCACTGCTCCTCCACATCCAGAGGAGCCAGTTGAGGACGTTCATCTGGTAAGAATACTTCCTGGGTGTCTCCCTAAGGAGGTGCTTCTGGCATGTCCAACTGGCAGGAGCCCCCAGGGAAGACCCAGGACACACTGGAGAGACTACTTCTCTTGGTTGGTCTGTGAACACCCTGGTGTCCTCCCAGAAGAGCTGGAAGAGGCTGTGGAGAAAAGTCTGGACCTCCCTGCTCAAGTTGCTGCCCCCGAGACCTGAGTCCAGAACAAGAGGCAGATGATGGATGGATGGATGGATAATGGATGGATGGATGGATGGATGGATGGATGGATGGATAAAATCTGCTTGTAGCTTATTGGTTTTTAAAATGTCATCTGTAAAGGGATTCAAACTTTCATCTGTCATCATCTGTCATCTCAGGTTGATGGCGGACGATTATGGTGTTGCTCGTGTTTGTTTGTTACCAAAATAACTCGTGAAGTGCTGGACAGAAGCGCTGGACAGAAGCGCTGGACAGAAGCGCTGGACAGAAGTGCTGGACAGAAGAGCTGGACAGAAGCGCTGGACAGAAGCGCTGGACAGCAGCGCTGGACAGAAGCGCTGGACAGAAGAGCTGGACAGAAGAGCTGGACAGAAGAGCTGGACAGAAGCGCTGGACAGAAGCGCTGGACAGAAGCGCTGGACAGAAGAGCTGGACAGAAGCGCTGGACAGAAGAGCTGGACAGAAGCGCTGGACAGAAGCGCTGGACAGCAGCGCTGGACAGAAGCGCTGGACAGAAGCGCTGGACAGAAGAGCTGGACAGAAGAGCTGGACAGAAGAGCTGGACAGATCTGAATGAAGCTCTGAAGACGACTGGTTAAAGTTTGGAGTCAGCCCAATCTAAGATGGCCACCACGGCCATTTCACCTTTGAAAACAACAGGAGTGCCTCAGTATACGGCCGTCAAACTAAAATATGACAAGCAAAGACCTTGTAGAATATTTGACCTTGATGTGTGACCTTGACCTTTGGGCTACAAAAAAAAGCTACAGAGGTAGTGCTCCATTTGCCTCATGCTGAGTCGTCTCCTTA